AGAAAGGTAATCATAGTCAATACTAAGATTCGAAAGACGTTTAAATAATAAAAGTTGTGATGTATCAAATTCTATAATGCCGTAATGTTCACCATCTTCTTTAACTGTAGGTAGATGAAGAGACGTTAAATTTTTACTGTGATATTTTACTAGTTGTTGAACAAGACTACTAGAATGGGAAGATAACTCTTCCACACATCCCAAACTAAAATGACTCAATTTTCTTGAATTCTTGATAATTTCTTCAATATGGTCCAAAATTCTGAAACAAAGAAAAAAGGAGAAATTAAAAAAACAATTAATATTTTCAAATAATAATTTTTCCATAAGTTGGCATTTTCAATAGTGCTGGGTATCGTCAATCATAAAACGATATGATACGTATTGCGATATGGGGTAATGGGACAAATATCAACATTTTATCTTCAAAGTTTCTATATTAATTTATAACTTTATAACTGTGATATTTGGTAATATAGTTGATAGAAGTGGTTAGCGCCACTGTCTTATAAATAGTTTCTATATATATTAATTCATAACTTTATAACTGTGATATTTGGTAATATAGTTGATAGAAGTGGTTAGCATCCACTGTCTTATAGTTTCTATATACATTAATTTATAACTTTATAACTGTGATATTTGGTAATATAGTTGATAGAAGTGGTTAGCGTCCACTGTCTTATAAATAGTTTCTATATATATTAATTTATAACATTACAACTGTGATATTTGGTAATATAGTTGATAGAAGTGGTTAGTGTCAACTGTCTTATAAATAGTTTCTATATATATTAATTTATAACTTTATAACTGTGATATTTGGTAATATAGTTGATAGAAGTGGTTAGTGTCCACTGTCTTATAAATAGTTTCTATATATATTAATTCATAACTTTATAACTGTAATATTTGGTAATATAGTTGATAGAAGTGGTTAGCGTCCACTGTCTTATAAATAGTTTCTATATATTTGCTGTGATATTTGGTAATATAGTTGATAGAAGTGGTTAGCGTCACTGTCTTATAAAAAGTTTCTATATATATTAATTTATAACTTTATAACTGTGATATTTGGTAATATAGTTGATAGAAGTGGTTAGCGACCACTGTCTTATAAATAGTTTCTATATATATTAATTCATAACTTTATAACTGTGATATTTGGTAATATAGTTGATAGAAGTAGTTAGCGTCCACTGTCTTATAAATAGTTTCTATATATATTAATTTATAACTTTATAACTGTGATATTTGGTAATATAGTTGATAGAAGTGGTTAGTGTCCACTGTCTTATAAATAGTTTCTATATATATTAATGTATAACTTTATAACTGTGATATTTGGTAATATAGTTGATAGAAGTGGTTAGCGTCACTGTCTTATAAATAGTTTCTATATATATTAATTTATAACTTTATAACTGTGATATTTGGTAATATAGTTGATAGAAGTGGTTAGTGTCCACTGTCTTATAAATAGTTTCTATATATATTAATTTATAACTTTATAACTGTGATATTTGGTAATATAGTTGATAGAAGTGGTTAGTGTCCACTGTCTTATAAATAGTTTCTATATATATTAATTCATAACTTTATAACTGTGATATTTGGTAATATAGTTGATAGAAGTGGTTAGCGTCCACTGTCTTATAAATAGTTTCTATATATATTAATTTATAACTTTATAACTGTGATATTTGGTAATATAGTTGATAGAAGTGGTTAGTGTCCACTGTCTTATAAAAAGTTTCTATATATATTAATTTATAACTTTATAACTGTGATATTTGGTAATATAGTTGATAGAAGTGGTTAGTGTCCACTGTCTTATAAATAGTTTCTATATATATTAATTTATAACTTTATAACTGTGATAAATAGTTTCTATATATAATAATTTATAACTTTATAACTGTGATATTTGGTAATATAGTTGATAGAAGTGGTTAGCATCCACTGTCTTATAAATAGTTTCAATATATATTAATTTATAACTTTATAACTGTGATATTTGGTAATATAGTTGATAGAAGTGGTTAGTGTCCACTGTCTTATAAATAGTTTCTATATATATTAATTTATAACTTTATAACTATGATATTTGGTAATATAGTTGATAGAAGTGGTTAGCATCCACTGTCTTATAAAAAGTTGTTAACAATTTTAGTGAAAACAATTGTTATATCATAAACCAACTTATAAAAATGCCCACTTTTTAATGGAATAAAATGTATCGCCAAGTATCGATACACAACATCGCAATACAATACGTGTATCCTGGCATGTCGTATCACAATACAATACGTGCATAATGGCATGTCGTATCGCAATACAATACGTGTATCCTGGCATGTCGTATCACAATACAATACGTGTATAATGGCATGTCGTATCACAATACAATACGTGTATCCTGGCATGTCGTATCGGCAATACAATACGTGTATCCTGGCATGTCGTATCGCAATACAATTCGTGTATCCTGGCATGTCGTATCGCAATACATAGATTCACCGATAAATTGTGTCAGCACTTATTTTCATCATGTGTTCAGTCAATTCGTCTTCTGAGAGCTTACAAAACTTTACGTCAATCTAAAACTTTCAGTACCCTGTACTATCTTGAGGCTGATATTTTCAATTTATACAAAAATAATTTGTAAATGCCATTCCTGTACACATTATCTCAAACATTTTACCCATAGGCCTAGACCTTTAACATAATAATTTTAACAGAATAATACAAATATTTAATATAAATTATTTTCAGCTATTAGCATGAAAGGAGTGCTCACAGAAAGACCTTTCCACCTGATACCAAATCTTTAATTCGATTATTTAGCTAACGGATTAGAATTAACAATACCCAGCTGTTTTCCTTGACTTGTTTACATTCTGTTACTAAAAATAGCATATACTCATTGCATCAGTAAACAAAATAAATATTTACGTACTTGTCAATCGCAGCCTTTCCTTCCTTTTCAGACCATAAAATATGACAATTAGATGGTCGAAGAGAAAACTGCTCCAAATTCTTATTTCTAGAAAAGATGTTCAACAATTCAATGCAGTCCTTCACCTCCAGAGATTTTTTCGAGTCGAATTTGACAGTCGCTTCCCGAATAAATCGTCCACAATTTTCTGCAAGAAATTTTGCTCGGCTGATCCCCTTCGTATCCAGCGAAAAAAACACGATGTGCCATAAATTTGGATGAAAGAGGCAAGATCTCCAACTTTTGCAGACGGACGAACTTTTTAAAATGTCATCAAAAGATAGGTACGAAAGAATTTCCACTATTATAACGCTTGGTAACGTCGACCAGTCTTTTCCTCCAGCCATTTTGCTTCATGTCTGACGTCAGACATACAGGTTGTTATTGAGCATGCGTAGATCATGTGATATAGAAATTAGTCTCCGAATATACCAGCCTTCTTCAATAAAACATCGCGCCACTTAACGTCTTGACAATCGAATATTATAATGTAACTCTACTTTCAGTTTGATTAATTAAAGGGACACCCAAATAATCAAATTTTCTCTGTAGGATTCCAATATTTACATTTGCTATATATTTTATATTTTTATGTTACAAAAATATAAATAGGTCAATTTCCATATTTTTACTTTAAATGTCAATCACAAGATAATAACAAAGTAGGGGGAGGGGGTACATTGCGATACCAACGTAGGGGGTGGGGGGGGGGGGGGGTACATTGCGATACCAACGTAGGGGGTGGGGGGGTCAATCACAGGATAATAACAAAGTAGGGGGAGGGGGTACATTGCGATACCAACGTAGGGGGTGGGGGGAGAGAGGGGGGGTCAATCACAGGATAATAACAAAGTAGGGGGAGGGGGTACATTGCGATACCAACCTAAGGGGGGGGGGGGGAAAAAAGAATCCCCAGATAATAACAAAGTAGGGGGAGGGGGGACATTGCGAAACCAACCTAAGGGGTGGGGGGAAAAAAGGGGTCTATCCCAGGATAATAACCAAGTAAGGCGAGGGGGGACATTGCCAAACCCACCTAAGGGGTGGGAGGGGGGAAGAAGGTTGTTAAGAGGTTTATTATAGACTATAAAATATCACAGTTTTAATAACAGAGCAGTTCTATAAATAGATATATATCTCAAATAAATATATACATGTAATAATTATTTCAAAACAGTGTGGGCGTATCTAGAAAATGGAGGCCAAAAATGAGAGGTTTCTCTCCTAGGTGAGGCCCGAGGAGTCAAATTGTCTAATAAATATTTCATTTTATCAGCTTTATCATAATTTATGTGTGATTTTGAAAACAGAAACTTTTTTTATTATTCAAGTTGATCCAGATGTTAAACCAGTCAGGTAATGTACAATAAATTAATGTCAAGACAGTTGAGTAGTTGACTAAAGAGTAGTATACCATACCCCTAAATGTCGCTAAAGGATTAAGAAACATTAGGGAGGTTTCATAGCCAGGATTCTTAAATTTCCTGTTTGAAAATTAATTTAACACCCAACTAGGAAGAATCAGAGTTCCCTAATTATTAAGTTTGATTTAAATATTACAGTGACATTATTAACCATAAAAAGAATGTTTCAATGAGATATATGGAGTGGCTCTAAACAAACTATTTCATTTTTTGGGATATTTCAAAACTCAGTATATTTGATCAAAGTCTTTGAATGACATTTAGCAATTGTGACTACGATATATAGACACAGCTTTATGGTACAACAATCACTGGTTAAAGTTTTATGGTACAACAATCACTGGTTAAAGTTTTATGGTACAACAATCACTGGTTAAAGTTTTATAGAACAACAATCACTGGTTAAAGTTTTATAGAACAACAATCACTGGTTAAAGTTTTATAGAACAACAATCACTGGTTAAAGTTTTATGGTACAACAATCACTGGTTAAAGTTTTATGGTACAACAATCACTGGTTAAAGTTTTATAGAACAACAATCACTGGTTAAAGTTTTATGCAACGTTTCGATGTGCCTGAGGATGACGGGGGAAACATGTTGAAATGTTGTATAAAACTTAAAACCAGTGATTGTTGTTTTATAAAGCTGTGTCTATATTTAACCACTTTAATAATAAACCAGAAATGAAAAGTTTTAACGTTTTTTTCCAAGCTATTTGATATTAAATTAAGTAATCATACACAGAATTTATAGAATCTGACAAGATTTAGATTTTGCAGGTGAGGGACTCGCAGCTGAAGGTTTTCGTTCTGGTGTAGATTTAGCTTGTTTTTCTGGGGTACCCTCCCTTGCTGGATTTTCAGATTCTGGTTTTTTATCAGCTTGCTTGACCTTTGAACCAGGTGTTGCCTTTTTAACATAACTTGAAGTTTTTTCATTTTCAGCTACCTTAATTTGAGGTTTTGGTTGTGGACGTTTTTGTTTTTCTTGGGGTTTTGGTTGAGGCCTTTCTTCAGGGATATTTTCAGACGCATTTTTCTTGTTTAATTCTGCTAATTTCCCACCCTTTTGATTATTTTTGTTTTCTGCTGGTTTTTCGTTATTTTGTGTTGGACTAGTAACATCATCTGGTAAAATATTTTCTATTTTACTTTTCATTTCTTCAAATTTGGATCCCGACCATTTTTCCTGGACCCCAGGATCGGAGTGTAGATCAATATATAGTAATTCTGTAAAAGCCATGCTCATTGGTCCACGTGGCGGCCATGACATATTCTCTAATAGAAGAGGTATGATTGGTCGTTTTAAAGAATCACATAAACTGACTTCCCGTCTACAATTAGCTGAGAGTGTATATTTCTCAGTAAGACAGGATAATACGACCTTACAGCCTCGTATACCACGATCTATTTTATCATACAGAGAATCTCCTCCCCCCATCTGATAGATATCCATCCAACAATCATACCCTAATTCTGTTAATTTTTTATATAATAACATGATATTCTTCTGTTTATCCCACTGATACGAGATAAAAACATCGGGAGATTTATCAGCCTGAAAATAAAAAAGGGTACTAAATCAGGGGCAATAACTCAAGGCCGATAACTCACTAAAACGAAGGGCAATAACTTACAATATCAATGGCAAAAACTCACTATAACAAGGGCAATAACTTACTATAACAAGGGCAATAACTCACTATAACAAGGGCAATAACTCACTATATCAAGGGCAATAACTCACTATATCAAGGGCAATAACTCACTCAATTTTCACCCACACAAATGGGTCCTGGAGACAGATGTTAGAGTCCATGTGGTATTGGATGTAAAAAACTATTATCTTATAAAAAGTAAAACAACGAATTCAGTTTTTGAGAATCGTACCTGATTTTTGGTGTCTGGTTTAACAACTTGTTTGTTGTTTTTTCCACCATTTGCTGTTTTACTTTTATCGATTTTTATTTCTTCCACCAGGGGGTTCCACCAGTTTTTATACACTGGATAAGAATAAGATAAAATATTTTATTATAATATATTAAACTTGTGGTAAACAAAGGAAAATCAGATCAAGGTTTGTTCTTACTTTTATGAACTTTGGACTCATCAGGGACGATTCCATTCATACTCAGCTGCATGAGAAGTTCCTGAAATTTGGGTGGCGGCCAGAATCTCTCGTCCTTGGTTTCATCTGATTTGTTGGATTGGTAGAATTGTATATAGAGATATTCACTGAATATTGGTCCCATACTGCCCTCTGGTGGCCACGGACAACTCTCTAGTAATAGAGGTATGATTGGTTTACGTAGATTGACCGACAGATTCACCTGGAAAATAGAAACTTTACTTCAGATCTATCCAGCATCTTTATATATTCTTTCTATTCTCAAATATTTAAAATTTCATCCTTTTTGAAAATAGTTATTCAGTGTTTTGTTTTGAAATTTCCACAAATCTTGTTGATTCCCCTCTTTAATTTAGTGATGACTCCTGTGCATTTAACTTTTAATACTCATATATAGGTAAATATATAGGGGAATACATAGGGGAATACATAGGGGAATATATAGGGAAATATATATAGAGGGGAATATAGAGGGGAATATATAGGGGAATATATATAGAGGGGAATATATAGGGGAATATATAGAGGGGGATATATATAAGTCAATATATAGGGGAATATATATAGGGGAATATATAGAGCGGGATATATAGAGGGGAATGTATAGGGGAATATATAGGGGAATATATAGAGGAATATATAGGGGAATATATATAAGGGAATATATATGGGGGAATATATAGGCGAATATATGTAGATGCGAATATATAAGGGAATATATAGGGGAATATATATAAGGGAATATATAGAGGGGAATATATAGGGGAATATATATAGGGGAATATATATAGGGGAATATATATAAGGGAATATATAGAGGGGAATATATAGAGGGGAATATATAGAGGGGAATATATATAGATATATATAGAATATTCTCAAATATTTAAAATTTCATCCTTTTTTAAATAGTTATTCAGTGTTTTGTTTTGAAATTTCATATATAGGGGAATATATAGGGGAATATATAAAGGGGGATATATAGAGGGGAATATATAGGGGAATATATATCGGGGAATATATAGAGGAATATATACATAGGGGAATATGAATAGGGGAATGTATAGGGAATATATAGGGGAATATATATAAGGGAATATATAGAGGGGGATATATAGAGGGGAATATATAGGGGAATATATATATAGAGGGGAATATATATAGGGGAATACATGGGGGAATATATAGGGGAATATATATACGGGAATATATAGGGGAATATATATAGGGGAATATATATAAGGGAATATATAGAGGGGGATATATAGAGGGGAATATATAGGGGAATGTATAGGGGAATATATATAGGGGAATATATATAAGGGAATATATAGAGGGGGATATATAGAGGTGAATATATAGAGGGGGATATATAGAGGGGAATATATAGGGGAATATATATAGGGGGAGTATATAGGGGAATATATAGAGGGGGATATATAGAGGGGAATATATATAGAGGGGAATATATATAGATATATATAGAATATTCTCAAATATTTAAAATTTCATCCTTTTTTAAATAGTTATTTTGTTTTAAAATTTCATATATAGGGGAATGTATAGGGGAATATATAAAGGGGGATATATAGAGGGGAATATATAGGGGAATATATATCGGGGAATATATAGAGGAATATATATATATAGGGGAATATAAATAGGGGAATGTATAGGGGAATATATATAGAGGGGAATATATATAGAGGGGAATATATATAGAGGGGAATATATAGGGGAGTATATATAGAGGGGAATATATAGGGAATATATATCGGGGAATATATAGGGGAA